GGTGTTCTGTCGTCAAGCTCAGCAAGGAATTCGTCTCCACCGGGTCGCTCAAGTATGCTTTCCTCGGATATCAGAAGCTCCAGCCCGGTAGATTATCTAGATGTAGCCCGACCCGACCTTAACTGGCACGGAAGTAGCAGCCGGAAGAATAATGTTACAGGACCTGAAAGTTCTATATTACGGCTGGCCAGGGATCTGATTCTCCAATACACTCTTTTTGATGACCCACTACCTAACGTAGTTGTTCTGACGGCCAAAGTGTACAGCGTTTAGGAGGATGCGTTGAATATGAGTAAGGGTTGCGGACGTATTGAACCGTCCGAGGATAGCATAACACTAGTAAGTGATCCCAGCCAGACGTCTGGACACATGGCAAATTATAATAACCTTGATAGATACGCCAAAAGCACTCAGGCGTACGGTCACAATTCGTTTATCATGTGAAGCATCACATAGTAAAGTTATATGAACTGCCACTGCCACAAGGTGCAGCGGCCATCGTACGTAGAGTTGATTATCTTCTGGAAGGAGACCGGTTCATGTGCGACCTGAAAGGGTATGAGGTTTGTTACCACGACGACTAGCAATGGCTATTGGATAATACGACTAACTATGTATGAATTTGGACAGCGTCTGATCCTGCGATTCCTTGCGCCCCAGATCCCCGAGGCCATATATGGCAAGTACTTTGCCGGAAAGAAAATGCATGGCAGGATAGATCCTGAGTTTTTATCTAGGATCAACGGAACTATGATCTGCCTGACTTGCGCTATACTATGCCACACTCTCCGGGCGTGGCAAACGGGTAAGTACGAAGAGCCGAAGGAATTCAAGCCTGATATTGTTATGGGTAAGAATCTCAGAACATTCTAGTGGGCCGTAGTGAAGGAGTCTGGCTAACCCGTCACCCACTTAAGACCTCTTGGCACGCCAGAGGCAAACATGGCAGAGATTTCCCGCGCAGATCCAGGAGCTGGTGGTCCAAAACATCCGCCAAATCATCACCGAAAAGCTCCAGCAACAATACGGGATTCAGAATGATCGAGTAGAAGGGTATGATGATGACGTTGACGCTGTAAGCGCGGACCTCGAGCGCAGGAAGTCCAACCAGGCTCCAAGCCAATCTTCGCGGGGTAGACAGATAATGACCGACTACCCTCTAGAGGCCTATTTGGGGTGCCAGAGCAGGCGGGAACGGTCGCCCCATCCTGATGTTGCTTCCGATTTTAGCCAGACGGCCATTGGACGGTCTCTTGGCTTTCATGATTTTGAACAGGATAGTCTAGACGATACCACGGAACACACGGGACGTCCGACGTCGGGGAGCGTGGGCAGTCCATGTATTTCATCGCGCGTCTCGCTTAGTCTGGATGATTCACAGTCGGGGCAGGTGACGGCTATAGAAGGACAGCAGGAAGGGAATTTTGATTGAGAGAGAGGAGGCAACTGGTCGGTGGGACTGGGATCAAGAGTGGGCTCGACGGGGTGCATATGGGTACCGGCGGTGCCGCTGGGATCCCAAGCTTCAATAGCACCTAGTGTACTCAATAGATTAAAATTGCGGGCCAATGTCACGCCGTACGATAGTAAATAGAATATATGCAGCACATATCGAGACCAAATTGTAATCGGATGTGCTTACCGAAAGTCCCAGAACATATGGAGTACGTTCCAATTACGGCGAGCAAATCCCGACGACGTTAATTGAAAGTGTGAAATCAGGATGGAAGAGGTGGGTAATATAGTACTCGGGGCACAAGGGAGTAGTTCTTCGAAGTCATGAGACACAGGAGCAGGGACAGGAACTTAGGAGGAGGAGAGCGGACGAGACATGCGGTGGGAGGCAAGCGATATAGATTAAGTCATCCAAACAGAACTGGCTTTACGTGGACAGGATTGAAACGCGGGGGGAGGGTTGATGGGCGTCACAGCGAGAGGCAGAAGCAGCAGAGATTCTCCGGACGCAAAGCAGGCGTGGCCGGATGGCCGGGACGCCGGGCAGGAGGTCCAGAGGTGTCCCGACGCCGGCCGGGAGTAGTAAGGGCGTCAGGACGCCATGCCGGAGTAGCAGGGGCCTCGGGACGCTAAGGGGGAAAGGGCATGGATTGTCAGGACGCCTGGAACCGAGCTAGCAAGGGTCACAACGCAGGGGGGTTGGAGTGCCACGCGTCCTGTGAGCGTCAGGATGCAGGAGGGTGCGGATGCGAACGTCAGGACGCAAGAACGGATTCAGCCGACGTCCTGATTAACGGTTTGCGTCCTGTGCGTCCTGTGCGTCAGACGCACAGGACGCACAGGACGCAAGAGTAAATTTTGGCTGATGTTCATCCAGTCGGTATGTCATTTTACTAGAAATTACCTATATGAATTACGTTAGTTGAAAAATCATGAATGCAATCTAACGCCTTATTCAATAGAACTCGAGATGGAGCTAAATAAAGTCGGGCTCAATAGGAAACTGAGAGTAAACCTTGATAGGAAATTCTTTCCCTTTCAAGAGTAAAAGCTTTGGTAGAAGCACCACCAGAATAAGAATGATACGAGTGCGGCCAATACATGTATCCATTACATGGATATTTTCGGTGAGGCTTCCTCATGACAACCACCTTATCAGGCCCACATGACGGATATATCTATCCGCTGCAATCGTAGTTGTAGTTAAAAGAATAGAGAGAGGCAAGGTAGGGAAAAACAAACTCTCTTACCGATGTCAATGGTTGTAGTCAGAACTGTAGTCTCCAAGCTTTTGGCGGTGGATGGTGTGGTTGTGGGAGTTGGGTGGACAGGGAAGGTTTAAGTAGATGGGGTGAGCCGTCAGTGAGGCGACACCCTCAGTGAGGCGCAGCGATATTTATCAGCAAAGGATCCCCACGGTCAGTGACACCCTCAGCGAGGCGCGGCGATATTTATCAGCAAAGGATCCCCGCCATCAACGAGAGTAGGTAGCTAAGCTATGCCACGCCTCACTGAGGGTGTCACCTCGTGGAGGGCACCCCCAGTCTATCTGGCGTCATGCTATAACCATCGCACCTGTTCCGCAGACCTTTAAAGGCTCCGTAGCAAGAGCGATTGGTACTCGTACCATCTAAGAGGCATCACTTTCTTCCATATCTACCACCAATCTCCAAAAAAACTGCGGGCCATGCCCTCCCAGCAAGCCGACCTCTATCCCACACCCCCGACTGCTTCCAACCCATAGAGCCTGAGAGACCACTCGACATGCATTATTATCTTACAGAAGGGCTAGAGGGTGTAGAACATCACGAATATCGAGATGTTCGCTCCTTCAAAGCGGCAGTCGATTCACGAGCTGATGCATTGCGTTTGGGTAAAGCTGACCAATACCTTCCCACGTACCTAATTTTTTCTGCAGTCACGCCATGCCAACTTGCAAATATCAATCGTGCTCGCAAAAGCGGCTACAGGGGAACCCGCTTCCTCTACCTCAATGAACCGAAGATATTGATTGTTAAGTACATGCCAGGGCCAGTGCACGAAATGATTAGCAAGGAGTTTGTTTATACCATTAGGAAGAAGATAGAGGAGGGGGGTCAGCAGGCTAAGATTACTACTATGGTGAGCACGACTTATCAAGGCAAACATAGCTGTAAAGAAGCAGATGGGTCGTTCAGACCTCTCCGAGCTCGTCCCGACCACAATAATTGGCCCACGATTGTCCTCGAGTGTGGCACAACTGAAACCCCACGCTGCTTGAAAGTTGAAGCCCGCTGGTGGATCAAAAACTCAGAGGGCGCTGTCAAGCTTGTCCTCCACTTGTTTGTATGGGTGGGAGCCAAAACTATACGGATTGAACTGTGGAAACGAGCTACGGTCGAAAATCCACAACAGATTCGCGGTAACGATAAAGGTGAAGCTACCGGACCAACTCTCAAAGTGGAAATCAATATTACCCCAGACTCAGTTACCGGTGCTCCTTTGAAGTTGAAGTTTAAAGATCTCTTTTGACCCAAGCCCAAAACAGAGCGCAGAGAGGCAAATTATGTCATCACCGAGCACAGTTTGAGAGACTATTACAATCACATCTGGCCTCCTGCCCCTGAAGCCAGCTCCCACGATGAATACTGTAAGTCAGCCTTGTTGCTGTCTAGCATGAATTGCAGCCAAAGCTAATTCTAGCCGCCACAGATACAGAGAGTGGATCAAGCCACTCATCGGAGGAGTTTATAGTAGACTGAGGTGTTGGGCGGGGGTGGGTCGGTTGAAGTGGATCATGGCCGTGGTGAGTCTTTCAATTAATTCTGGTGCTTTCAGGTTGATTTGACTCTGCGACTAGAAGTAACAACAATGTATTAATCTGATATTTTTGTTTCTTCTATAGACATACTTGAGGAGTATTGGGGAGCTGGGATGGGTGGTAGGGGTGGCAGCCGACAATCTCCGGGGGCAGTTGAGGTTATTGGTTGTGGCAATTAGGGGATGCCCCTGTGGGTGGATTAGAGGATATCTGGCGGGGATGGGGGGGGGAAGCTTGTATAGGCATATCAGATAATGGATGTCGCGGCCGTTTTGAGGATGCGGGTATTGCATAGTTGGCCCAAGTTTGGGCAAGACACGTGATATGAGATGAAGTAAATGCCTGAGGCTGTGACACTGAGTGATATTCTGTGATTGCACCTTATTCTCGCCTATGTCCCTAAAAGACATATTATCGTAAGCGGGTTGACCAAATATAGTTTGGGGTAAAGGAAATCTCTATACCCATGAATGAGACCTATTTCTTTCCTTTTGACTCCTTTCTCTCGCAGCAGGTCACATTTTGTACAAGTAGGAGGTTGGATGAGGAACGGTATAACAGGACCTCTGTGGGTGTGCGGAGTGGGGGGGGAGACAAAATCAGACTACGGTGTACTGTTCCTATCGCCGTGAGACGCTAATGTATTTTTTCTAGCCCAGGTTTCTCCCCTCTAGAGAATGCATCCATCTAAGAAGAGTGCAGGGTCAATCGCCTAAGGGTGAGTGAAGCCCATTCTGACAACACGATGGTACCCCCTCTGCCTCGCCCTCCTCACGAAGGCGAAGCGGTGCCTATTTCGCTGAACCTCAATTTGATCTTGGTCCGGCATCTGGCGCCGAAGGCTCTCTGGAAGTCTGGCGCTCAAGCCGTCATGATACATATAATCGATATCGGCAGCGGTGGTATTGGTGGGGGCGATAGGTGGGGGGACTTGGAAGCTCTCGACCTGGGTACGAAGGTCAGAGCCAGAGGCTGGGCTGGCAGCGGCTGTGGGAGAGGCCCCGGTGGGGATATTGGTGATTGGCATGGGGTAGGTACCTCGTGTGGAGTTGACTCAATACGGGTCGCGGGTGAGGCGGTTGGGTGGATCTGTGGTTTCAATACCACCGAGGTCTTCAGGTGATGCCTAGGTTGAGCCTAAAACGAATTGTCAACTATGAGTTTTATGAGAGGCTGATATAGGGGTTGTTGATGATAGATAGATACAGACAGAAATTCGCAGAGAGGGAAATATGACCAACAAGACCTCTAGGGTTTTCCGCCATTCTATTAATCATGGCGTCGGCGGCACTCCCCAACCCATCCCCCAGGGCAATGGAAAGGCGAAAAAGAGGGGTAGCTCCGACGCGCTCATCTCTGTTAGCAGATCTTTCGATCCCCCTCCGGCTACCGCTTCTACCTATTGCGCGGTAGAGGTCTTCAGGGTCCTCATCATCGAAAGTTTGCTCCATCATGTGGATGACGACAGGACAGTTGAGCTGACTGGCGTGTACCCCCAGCTTCCTGCAGTAGCAGCAGGATCCTGCGGCACACCGGATGCAGCTACCCACACCCTGCGAGTCGATACGAGCTTGCCGGATAAAGGACCTGCATTCGTAGATTGGGCAGTAAAGTGGACGCTCATGGGAGAGCCCTTCGTGATCTGAACGGATGATGACCCAGGTAGGCATGATGAATCTGGTTTTTTAAAAAAAATTAGGAAATTTCACTATCATGTGATGGGGTTTTTTCAAAGTCGGATTTCTTACACTGGGAGAGATTGTGTGGGGGTGGGTGGTGTGAATGTAAATTAGGGAAGTGGGGCGAGCATCGGACTTGCTAAATGAGCGAAATGTATGAAGTAGTCAAGGACGGTAGAGAGGGTGATGGTGGAAGTGGCAGCAGAGTTGTCGGGTGAGAGGAAATTGGGGAAGAGAAAAAGAGGGAAGGGAAAGGAATGGAAGGTGATAAGGAAGATGAGTCGATTGGGACGTGAACAATTTTAGGAGGCAGGCAAACTGATTCGTTTTCCCTTGTGTTGGTCGCTAGGCCCTGTCCATGCGTGCCCTTTACTTGATTAGCTATGGAGGCTGCCTCTGGAAAATCAAGGCCTTACACCACCGCCTGAAGAGTAGGTCACGATCTGGGGACTTTCTGGTAAGATCCGCTCTATACAGGCGGTGTGCGCTTTCGGTAACGAGAGTAAACTATATAATGAGGTATGAATAGCGGATAAGGAGGCTTTAGATTCGAGTAAGAAATATGCTAAACCAGCCTATCCTCATCAATGACGGAAAGGAATTGGGAAGTTGAGACGATTCTTGACTTTAGGACAAGGCATGGCAGGGGAGGCTACGATGGACACAAGCTCCATCTCCCCCGCTGTTTGAGGATTATTTCGGACTCCTGATTATATATTACGTCTTGCTAGGCCCGACAAGCATGACCTCTGTAACTGTAACTGTGATAGTGAAATATCAAGGCAGGAGCATTTGATTGCCGCAAGCATATAAAGTGACAGTGCGGACTATCGTAAATATCGAAGCTTCTGCCATTAAAACCCCTTCGGCAAACTGTATAGTGTATGTGTATTTCGGTCTCCCCTACAAACTTCATGGCCGTATCACTGCAACATCGCTGCATTAACCAAACCAGTGACTCAAGATGAAAGGAACACACCCCCCGCAATCCGTTCAAGCCCCTCCAAAAATACTGCATCCTCCCGAAATCAAAATCCGCAACATCATAGCCCGTATTCTACGCTTCCTTTATTCCACTCACTATTCTGTCACAACTACTGCGATCCACAGCTGCCCCCCTCACCAATGATACAACCTTCGTCTTTCCATATCTGGCTAGAACCACCCAGCCCAATGGGTTAGGGCTTCTACTTTCCAAGACTTTACCCGCTTCCAACGGCTTCCGTTTCTTCCATCGTTACACCGTCTTCATAGCCAAGTGGAATTCCAGGCACTGGAAATATGATGATCGCGTATGGCTTCCATGGTGATTCCAATAACCCATGATGAAACACATGTGTGAAGCATCGAAGGCATTACAAGCCCCAATTCGCCTCCACGGGAAAACCAGTGGATCCTGTGAGCATTAGCAAGTCATCAATATTTCAGGCCAACTGTGAAATAATTAAATTACCGAAAGGACTATTGGTCACGGCGATCGGAATGAGCACGTAAGCTTTCCAGGGAATATGCGATGTCTTCCGGATCAACGTCGGGAAAGAGCAACACGTCGGGATTACCGGTCCTCACCGCTTTCAAATCTTGATCAAATAATTGGTCGGACATGATCGGGCGACCAAAGAGCAAGTTGCTAGGGATAAGTTGAGAGAAAGAGAGAGAGCTCAAATTGAGTAATTGGTGGTTGGATATGGTGTGGGGTTGACGGTTTGTTTGAAGACGGGGCTTGCGGGTGACAAAATACAGGCCGCGGCGTGCCGCGCGTGACAGCATCAGCACAACCATCTGGCCGCATCACCTCACCCCATCACCGGTCGCTGCTTGGCCTAGCCGGTTCTAGAAGGGCCTGAATCACCAACTCTGTCGGCCCTGTTCGAGCCATCCACTCTACTCCACTCCACTCCATCAATACAGCCATAAAATTAAATAATTATACGAAAAAACCTCCTGAGTATGTATGCAATGCGATAGTAGCTAGACTACCACTCCTCTCCATTCCATATAGCTTCACTCGACGCCCTTTCCACAGCCCCCCAGCTCCCACGTTTCCCATGCCGCGGGGCAGGAATTAATACGACGGGGGGTGGAGGGCCGACTTCTTTCCGCTAGTTTTTTGCGTAGGAAATTCTTACATTTATGACTTTCCGTAGCACAATCGCCAAGTCCGCGATCACACATTATCACTCCGCTCGACCGAAACGCCCAGGCTTTCTGGTGGCAGTCAAAAGAGTATATGAAAAGTTTTCGCTCCGCTTCTTCTCTCTCTAAAAACACACACAAAGACATCCTCATCAACTTGCTTACTCAACTCTCAACTAATTTTAAGATAAAACCAGAATGAAAACTTTGTCTGAATGCACTAGCGCCTGGAGATTCTTCCCACTTCACACGCCAAGCAGGCAACCCATCGCTATCTCCAAAAAATTTCACAATGTTAGGGTTTTGCATATCCAGATATACGAGCTATCGCCTCCTGTAAGAGTTTCTAGGAAAGAAGTCCAAGCGGATTCCTGTTCCTCTCCACCACAGAATCGAGAAGCGCGTTAACAAAATGGCCCACAGGGAACGAAAGGAGGCCAAAAAGCATCCAGAACTCCGCCAAGAAGAAAACATGAATGACAAACTCAATATTCCAAGCTGTTTTCCATATAAGATCGTTCATTCTGAGATTGAAGAGGGAAAGCTATTGAAGGAACAGGAGCAATTGCGAAGAGAACTTGCAAAGCGGAGAAAGGAGGAGTTAGTGGGTAGATCAGAGGGCAGGGAGGATGCTATGCAGGACCAGTGAGGAGGTTATGCCAGTTCCAGTAAGTTATGTAGCAATGCTATGGATGAAAATGATGCTAATTCTAGAGTATGTTCCGCCATGTGCGACAAGTACTCATTTCTCTTTTTAAACAAATTGCTAAATAATCATATACTGGAGGTTCCGCAATGGCAGCCCTCCTGGCCTTACGGCGAGCAAGGGCCTCAGAATATGAAGCCGAGCATGGTGGCTTCTGCGGCGAGCCCGATGGTGATTCAGATTCGGAAACCGGCATTCCAGACCTCGAATCCAAGAGCACCGGCAAAGATACCTCATGAAAATCGCTTGACAAGATATTCAAGCAAGTGGTCGATGCTACCGGCATAACTCTCTACGTCCTAGATACTCGAGACCCCGAAGGCACCCGTTCCCGCGACGTGGATAGACAGATAATGGGGACTGATGGCAGCGAGAAACAACTAATCCTTATCCTGAACAAGATCTATCTCGTACCAGGGACGCCTGAACGGGTGGTTGGATTATCTCCGCAGAGACTTCCCAACGCTGCCACTAAGCGCTAGCAGGTCTGCTGCGAATGCCCCGACATTTGATCATAAATCCTTGACGGTATAGGGCACCTCAGCTACTCTTCTGGAGACTCTAAAATCATTTGCGCATGCCAAACAGCTCGACCGGTTGGTATCAGTGGGTGTAATTGGATACCCGAATGTTGAGAAATTATCAGTTATCAACACCCTTACCGGCCGTCTGGGTGGCTTATGGACCGCCTGTCCGACAGGCGCTGAAGCCGCCGTAACCACAAGTTTACTAGAAGTCAAGCTAGACAAAAGTCTCAAAATGGTGGCTCAAATGACAACCGGGCACATCTCATCCTCCTAAGTGCCCTCCAACCAAGGCAAATCCTCGACCCGGTACCTGCAGTTTCCCTTCTCATCCGCCGGCTATCTCATCCCACACGCTCTTTGACAAACTCCTCCGCTTTTACAACCTCCCTCTCATCGTCGATACTACCGCCACTGATCTCACAACAGACTTCCTAATGCAGGTCGCACGAAAGTGTGGGCGACTAGGTAAAGGAGGCATCCCCGACATCGAAGGAGCGGCAAAGGTCATCATAATGGATTGGAGGGATTGAAGGAGTCAAGGTTGGATTGATCCCCCCAACCGCGGTCCCCACAACTACCGAGGTGTTAAGCCGGCCACCGCTGCCATAATGGTTGATGATCGAAAAGAGATTGTTAAAGAGCCGACTGAAGAGTTTAAATTTGATGGGCTATGGGGTGAGGATTGGAATGCTGGCGGACAGGGCGAGGAGAGGGCGAGGAGTCCTGTGGCATCTTTTATTTTCTTTATATAAAAGCTTATATAGAGCTTGCTTCGATTTTTTTTAGTTGTGGTCCGCCACAGTGCTCTAGCTTTTCAGTAGATATGGGCTATGAATGTATAATTCCGGCAGCCCATACGTATAATATCTTTCACACACAAAACCCTAGTCTCGGTAGCCACCACAGCCCGGCGGGGGGGAAATCATAATCACTATTCTACTCGAGCACAGTAGTGCTAGCTGAGCAAAAGCCCGTATGGGCACCCACCAGCGATACCCGTGCAAAACCTGGAGGTGTACTGTGCCTCCCACCACCCCCATCCGTGGTGAAAATAGCTTATCACACTCAAAATCGTATAAGCAAAATAAAAGGTATAACCTCACCTCTACAACTTCTCCCACCCTGCTCCTCCTTTCTTTGCTCTGCCCTTTCTGCGAATTATGAAAATTTGCGACCTAACACTCTTGGCGAACCTGAGCTACCGCCTTGTCGCCGAGACGGGCGGGTATACTATCGAACAGCTCGAGCAGGTGAATATCCGCTTTCTCAAATATCTCACCGATCTCGCGGCTGATCCCATTGCGATTCCAGGGAGCACAGATTTCCCACCCACCGCTCATGCAAGCACTAGCGACGTTAGGGAGGGCAGAGGTTTTGGAGGCAGAGGTTTTGGGCCTGCCTAGCTGGGTTGGGCTGGATTAGAATTCGATTAGATATTGAGGAAAGGGGGGGGGAGAAGGGTCCCGGCTTTTTTTCTTCTCTTTTTTTCTTTCTCTTGGTTCAAGGTTTGTTTCGTCCTGGTTTCCCCTTTGGATGCCGGGGGACCGCTGTTACGAGGCCGGGTAGACATCTTCAGGCTGATTGGATCCAGCATTTCCTCCTATGGGTTGTTTGTCCGAGTGTCCTGCTTTGGCCCGGGCTGCCGCATAGGCCAGCCTATCAGTGGCCTGGCAGATTGGGAACATTGTAGAACCACGAATGACCATAAATGAATCTTAGACAGCAGCAGCGCCCTCCCCTGCCCCTCACCCAGCAAGACAAGGCAAAAATCTTTGCTACCGCACGCGAGTACAGTGCCCAATGACCATATTGCAGGTTCCGCAAGCGAGGTTTGCCGCCGTCACCTGTTATGGAACCTACAAAACCTATGCCCTGAACCCCCGTAGACTCGAGAAAAATCAAAGCGCTCCCCACCTTTTCCATTATTATTAGACTAAGACATCGCTAGACATTCCACAGTATGATACAGCCTCTGAATAACCAAAGTGTCTACCATGTCCCAATCACCACCACCACCACCACCACCACCACCACCACCACTCTACTCGCTACCTACCTCCCCAGCCGGCTCGGCCTCTCGGCCACAGCGAAAACAGCAGTGGTAGGAACAGCAATCGCACCGCCACTCCCCCTCGCTGAGGCAATGATCTCGCCGGTAGGAGACATGCTCACTACTCACACCCACGCACACACTGTATTACAAAGCCCCCACAAGCATACTTACCGCCACGTCGAAGGTATTCTCAGTGATGCCATGTCCTACCTTACTATTCTCTGAAGCTTAGCGTGTTAATAATCTCCCGCACTCCTCGACGGAGCCATTAGGGCTAAGCCTCCACGACGACAACCCCGTAGTGCTCTATATCCTACTGAAAGTCTTACACAATCCCACACCCTTTCCCCGGTGATTATCATTCAAGCAGCTGATAAAGATGGCCTTGGTGGTAGATGAGTACGACGACGGCTCCCACGTGACGAGGAAGTAAGGCGAAAGTTGGATGAAGTGCTGGACGTCTCAAGTCGAGAAGCGGCGCCAGGAGTGGTTATTCATAGGGTGAGTGTGGGGTGTGGAGAATATTTGCGCAAAGTTGTTTAAGAAGGCAGTTGGAGGCTTGTGTCCAGAGGGTTGAGGGAAGTATAGATAAAATTCCAATTCTCAAGGTAAAGGAAAGCAGAGGTAAGCCCAGAGAGTTTGTGCCCAAAGCCCTGTTACGTAGTACCGGCATATCCATCCCCAACCAGCCAGCTCCGCTAGGATTCTGATGAAAGAATCGCGATATCAGAGGAGCGATATCGAGTGGCAGCACTCAGCTCCTCACTCATATAAAACTGGTGCTTACGCCTCTTTTTAACCACTACCAACCTTCACAACAGCTCCTCCAGTGTGCTGCCACACCTCCCGACCCCAGCTGCCACGCTCTAGTATTCTCTATCTTGTATCGCAAGCTCTCGGAATGAAACCTTCTTCTTTGGAACACGATCGAGGACTCGGACGAGTCTCCGGTTAACAAAGTAGTGGGCTGGGTCCTCAACATAACTCCCTGGTCCCTGGTCTGGGAAGGAGGGATGAAAATTCTGTCTTTTGAAAAGCATAGAGAGAAATGCAATCCACTCAAGAAACTTGCAGCGGAAGTTAAACTAGCTATATCTAGGGGCGAGGGCAGGGAAAAGCGGGAGATGTGGGAGCCCAGAGTGCTTAAACATAACTTCCGCAAATCCAAGAGTTTAAATTGCAACAGCCATTTTAGGCATGTCAAGTTAGCTTTACCCACTTATCGGATACAGCAAGGAGACGATAACCATTCTTCAGAATATGTGCAAAGAGTGCTCTCAGATTCGCCTCGATCATGACCAAGCGGAAACCTTCTTGGAGGGGTTGCGCACGCCGGGCACCGATAATTTGCGTCGGATGAGCATTTGCAAAAAGATTAATGAACAATGCAAAAAAAACAAGATTCGCTACCATTGTGG